GATTTCCACTCTAATATGTTTAGATAACATTTTCAATGTGGGTCACAAAGCAACCATCCTTAAGGATAGGATTTTTATACCTAGTTTGACATTGTTCAGACTTTTCCATAGATCTATCTTTTGGAGCTCCATTGGTGTTCGAGTAATCTCTTTTTGGAGTCAGCACGACGAGATTTGGTTTAATTGACCTCGATTCAGTCAAGATTGATTCAAAAGTCAATTCGTTGGGTCATTAAGTCTAGGTAAGGAAACAACTCCCTTTCTCAGTGTGGCTGATTTATCAAAAGCATACTTTTTTTTCTTTTTATTCAGGGTTCACTAGTGTTCGAGCAAGCTTTTTGTGGCACCATTATGATGTGACCAAGTTAGTTAACTGTAATACCAAGAAATGTTGTTGGTGTAAGTCAATTCTTTGGGTCAGTAAGTATGAGTAAAGTCAATTCTTTGGTCACCATCATGATGAGGTCAAATCGTCTAACTTTGATTTAATGAAATTCTAATTCTCAAGGTCTATTCTTTGGATTAGTAAATTTGGGTGATGGTATGTCCCTATTAATATATCTTTTTTTTAGTATAGCTTATCGGAAATAATATCTTTTCTTTCTCGGGTTCGTCAGCTTTGTTAACTAAACTGGCCCGCGACAAGCACTTTAACCTTTGTCGAGTAAGTTTAGTGTAGCACCAACACATCTAACCTAGTGTCAACCATTAAAAATGAAGAATTAGGAATTTTGTACTAATTATAGTATGGATTTGACCTAAAACCGTCGACAAGATTTGTTATTTACATCAAATTATCATATTTAAAAAACTTGACACTTTTGACTCATAAATCTAGAATTGGATAAAATACGTCTCTTTTAATATGTTATTCGATTGAAAGCCGTTTACAAATCATTTGTTACCTGGATTTGTATACCTCAATTTGTTGAAATATTGATTGACCAAGTATGCAACTTAGATCAGTAAGTCTAGTGTAGGAACCATACATATGCACTCTAGCATCAATGTTTAAATATCTTACGGTTAGGGTTTTAAGCTTAGTTTAACCTTGAACAATATTTCACACGTTTAGTCTTTTTGAGTCTGTTGGTGTTGAAACTGACACCGTTATAATGTAATCAAGTTCATTAACCTAGCAAATAATGGGTAGTTAAGCAGGGTAATGCTTCGGGATAGTAAATCTGAGCAATGGTATGTCCTCTAACAACCTCTTCCTCAATTTAGTCCATAAAAAACACAAGTGTTTTCCTTTCTTAGGTTCACTAGTTTACTGACTAAACCAGCCTCGAAAAAAATTGGTGCTTTGGCTTAGTTGTTCAGTTGAAACATCTATCTGTTACTCTAGTCTCAGTCATTAAATACATAAAAGTTAGGTGTGTGATGTCTATGTTTAGTGTGAATTAAACAACTTAGGCCAACATGCTTTAATTGATGGTGAAGTGTACCCTTTGTGGTACCATCCTGAATTTTCTCAAGTTTGTTATTTAGTTGAATTGTTGGATTCGATAAAACAATGTTCAGGAAAGTAAACCGAGTTTTGGAACTAGCCTCTTAGGAAACTTTCTTGGTTTAACCATTAAAACCTTGACAAAACAAATAAATTTTCTCTCCATCTAGGTTCATTAAATCTTTTCATCAAGATTGATTCACCAGGTCAATACCATAGTCATGTAAGTCTAGAGTAGAGCAAAACCACTACTCTCTAATGCTAGTCATTGGATACCCATATGAGAACCCTTGGAAACCCACCGCCTATATTTGACTTCTAAGATATCGATTAACTCTCAGGTTAGATCTGAATTCATATGGTTTTCTATCCTATTCCTATCATATTATTCACATCTTTGGTCGGATGTGAGCCTCTATGTTTTCTACACTAATATGTTCAAGTTTATCAAATAAACCTTCTTTTGATTAGCTCTCATATTCGATGTTAATCTTTGTGATTTTTATCTTAATGTGTTCATGTTTAATTAACTTTTTTTAATTAATTCACGATGTGGGTCCCTGTGTTTTTTATTCTAATTTAATCACCTTGTTCACCTCTTATATTGGATGTGAACCCCTATATTTTGCATCCTAATGTGTTTCAGTAATATTAACTCAAATCCCTAGTGCGAGCCTTTAGTAGATTCTATTGATGGGAAACATAAGAAACATAAAACTTAAAGTTTCTAAATCTCAAATAATCAAGCTTTCGAAATCCAAATTTCTTAATTACACAAACTTTAAAACATCAAAATTCTAAAAGAACAAATTAAAACTCCAAATCCTCAAACACAAACTAAACTTCAAATGCTCAAAACCTCAAAACCTAAGAGGCTACTTGGGATCAATTTTTGCTTTATGTTTTTTGTTTTTAAAAACAAAAAAAAAAACATAAAACAAATCGATAAATAATGTTTGTTTATCTTTTTTTTTTCTTAATTTTATTTTTAAACAAAAAATTGTTGTTTTCAATAGACCCAACAAAGAAAAAAAAATATATTTTTACCTGTTTCAAAAACAAACTTTTTAACCCCCTTGTCTCCCTCGCATGACCACGAAGGAGTAGGGCTTGAGAGCAATCTTCTGTGTCTCGAGTCCTTGAACTATGACAATCGCACCTTTGCGGTGACTTCCCCTTTTCCGCTACCACTGCTCTTCTCCTTCTGTTTCCTTTTTGTCCCGCTTGATCTATTCTTTCTCCTTTTCTGGGGCATCCTGAGACCAAAGGCATTCAAAAATCAAATCCAACAAGCACAAGTACTCCGCTGTGTGGTCCCTCACTGACGCCGGTAGCCATCACCTTCAAGCTATCATATAATTGTCTTTGCTTTAACCATGGCAACACAAGATGGATGTCGCTAGCTAGCTAGGGATTTTCTTGTTGTTATGTTTGGGGATTCCAAAATTTTTTTACTAGTTGTGCTTTTCCAGTGTGGTAATTTAAGGGTTAGTTTATTTTCTTCTCATCTCTTATTTCTTTCACTGAAATACAATTTTTGTAATTTCATATGATCTTAAGTTGAATTGAATCTCATTGTGATGCATGCTTATTGACACTTGCAGGTTTCCATTTTCAAGTAATGGGAAGCTTTAGACGGGGGTTCAGTGCAGTAGCCACAACTAAGTTGCTTGTTATAAATGGTCCATACATAGAAGCAGCATTCAAGGATGTCATGGCGGTCTCTAGGAATGAGAGCCCAAATTATGTTCTCAATGCAACAAAAAATAAAAGATAAGAATACCCAATCAAATATATATTATATTTTTTTGTTTTTAAAAATAAATAAATCATAACAACATCAAGCATGTTTTCTTAAAAGAGAAAATGAAAAATAAAACAGACTAAAAACAAAAAAAATAAACATAAAGTGATCCTAAATGGGACCAAAAATCAATACTTCATTCCTCTGAACACTTTTCATAGCTAAAAACTTAAATAATGAATAGCAATACCCTCATTCCGATTTTAGTTCAATGTCTCTATTAACACCAATATGTGTGTTGTACTTTGTACAATCAACCATAAATATTGAGAGTCCATAAGATGACCTCACTTTTTGGTTAACATTTTCCTTGGCTTATATCCAGATTAACCTACTTTAGCTAAAAATTAAACTGAACCCTAACAAGCCTCAATTTAAAATTTGACTTAACAAAAATCAAAATCAAGTAAGCGAAAACAAAACCAAATACAATCAACTTCAACAAAATCCTAAAAAATGAACTAAAAATCAATTTTAACCAACAAACACCCGGCATTATTTTTTCCTCCACAAATTATCTTTAGGCTTGAAACTTCATTCTGAAAGTTGAATGATGTTTATTAATTTTCTCAACTTCTGACTTTTTGTTTATAGATTTGGAGGTGCCTTTAATCATAGTACATATGCACATTATGTAACTGTACGACATATCAAACTACAATTAAATGAGTTGCAGACTTGGTTCATTGGTTCCCATGTTAGTTAACAAGCAAGCTCTTAGTTTCCCTGCCTGAGCTGCGAGCTAGCAAGGGTCCAGGGTAGACTAATTGGCTTTGCTGAGCCGATTCTTGGATGGATCTTACTAGAATCTATTCGTGGGCTTCCTGGCCGGTTAATAGGTAATGCCTAAGTTACTACGTATTTGAGTGTACAATCATGAATGTAAATTGGCTCTCAAGCCGTTTTGATCCAATTAAAAAATTGAGTTTATGGGAACCATGGATGGGTTGTAAGAACTGCTAATTGAACCACTTAACATTTAAGCAAGTGTGGTAAATCCAATTTGAAAAAAAATAATGATATTTATATCATCAAAATTGAAGCGTTTATTAGATTAAATTCATCTTTCACTAACTCAATAATCGATCTAACTCTATAACCTTTGATTTATACGAAGCATCATATTCTTTTGTTATTAAGTATTATATGGATACCTACTTCTAGATAATTGTAATATCCAAATCGTTTATATTTATAAAAATAGCTTAAAGATAGTTTTATTTTATGATATATATCATTGAAATCATGATTAGTAGAGTAAAATTATCAGCTTTCTCTATGACGATTTACTGAATCTTTAATACTTAGTTGTATCACCCATAAAAAAATTAATTTATTGATCTATTTTAATTGCATATGCAGTAAATTTTTAAATAAGTTAAAGGGGCATTAACATATATATATCTAACAATTAATCTCTAAATTTTATATTCATAACCCAAAAAAATTAATCAAATTTTTAATCAAATTTTTAAATAAATGAGCCGAGTTATTAGCCAAATTTTTAATCAAAATTTTCTCAAGCTGATTTTAAGCCACATCTAACTCTAAGGCTCAGTTTATTCACTGCGGCGACGTTTTGAAAATACCTTCTCAATGTTGGAAATTGCGTTTGAACAGCTTATTAGTTGGTTTTTTACATTAAATGCGGAGCGAGGGTTGAACCCCGCAGGCCACCCGCGGTCCGCATTTTTAGATAAACGGCTTATTTGGATAAGGGCATTGATTAAGCTAGGGCTGTGAGTTTTGAAATCGGATTGTTAACAGCCTAATTTCGGTTTGTTGTAATCGCATCGCCGTGCTGCCGTCTGAAAGCATTTTGTTCCTGCTAGCGGGGACAGAAATGCCTTTTAATGTGGTGGCTGCACAGAAGAACAGAGTAACTTATCAGTAACAGTTAACTATGGTTTCTTCACTCCGCTGGCTCCATTCCTCTTCATTCTATTGTCAAAGGTATTCTCTTCACTTGTATCGGAGCCTGCTTCCACTTGAATGCCACCGCGCTCCTAACATGTTCGATGAAATGCCAAGCTCAGGTTTGAACTCAGGAGAACTCAAGGCGCTGTTCGAGATTTGCGGCTTCTTCGAGGATGGGGCCTGTCCTATTTTAGCCTTTACCCAAGTCCATGGTATTGTTTTCCTGCAAAACTGTTGCTGAGGTTGCATCACAGGAATCGCACAAAACCTCTAGTTGCTTCTGGTTTTGATGCCGTCGAAAGTCTACCGAGGCGAGTTTTTTAGCTTTTCATCGATAGCATATTTGTGAATTTCTTACGGAATGGATTTTTAGTTGATACCTTTGAATTTAAGCTTTGTTTTTTCACAAATAGTTTGGGCATGATTTTGCAGAATGATGCATTATCATCTATGAAATGGAAATTAAGACTGTTTTTAATCATTCTTCTTTCATTTGATGTTATGTGCGTATGGAGTTTATCTGATTGCTCAATTAAAGCGGCGGGTTCTAAAGAAGTAAAAAATTTAGTGCTGCTTTGAAACTTCTGATCCTAGTGACAATTCCTTTTCATCTGCAATGTTTTGCTTCCACTTCAAAAATATTGAATTGGTTTTGAATAAGTATGTGAAGTTTCTCTTAAGTGTTTCAAATATAATTTAGATTTACTACTTTGATGGTGTTATAGGGAATCTTCAAAATTAAATTTCAGGATTGGCAACTCAAACAGCATTTCCACTTAGATTAAGTTCTGGACTGATAATTAATCTGATTGTAAAATCTTTCTGATTCTTGAATAACAGATTTGTTTGTTGTCAACAGATTGAAGATGTTCTGCAATTCTGATTTGAAAATACATGATAGGGATGAGTTTGTGAGTCAGTTGCAAGAATTATTGACCCAAGTTAAAAGCATGATCAAAAGTGGGAACAAGGAGGATGCCATACATGTTCTTCAAGCAAATTATGAAACTGTGAAAGAACAGGTGGATGATGGTCATGTAGGCATAGAGCAGGCTGCTATATTAGACACTCTAGCTCTGGGATATATGGATATTGGTGACATGAAGACTGTTGTGCATTTATTGAATCTGGTAATATTGCTATAATGATTACAATATTACTCTTGCATTCATGATATATGTTTTACATTCGAATTGTTAAAAATAATTTAATTGAGGGCCATGTATTGATTTATAAAGTTAAAATATAAATTTTGTTATGAACTCAAGCAAAGTCAACTGGCAAAATTAGCGTTAAGGGGAGCAACATTAACAAGTCTTAAATTATTGTGGTAAATTTAATGAGATGGCAGTAAACATGGTCTTATTTTATTTCTCCAAAGTAATTGTCAATTACTATTTATCGTATTTATAGAAGAACCTTCCTCAATTGCTTTTGCTTGGCGGTCTTTCCATTTTGGAATATGTTAGTTAGTAGTGCAAGAGAGTTTCTATTAGTTAAAGTGTATAGTTGGGTAGAACAACTAGATGCACATAAATGACTATCTAGAATGTTGCTGTGGAATTACTAGATCATGAATAAGGCTTGATTAAAAACTATATATTGAAGATTATTGAGGGAGGCGATCATATGAACTATTGAGCAAATAATGGAAGTGTGGGAAGATGATTATAGCTCATCAACGTTTGTTGTTATTTAAGTCCACACTGTGGTTTATTATTCATAAGTGGTGTCAGATGTAGTGTTAAGTTGCATGCATCTGCGTTTAACGCCACTTTAGATTTTAAATCTTTTAATCCCAAGGAATGAAAGTCATACCCTTTTGTCTTCTAGGATTCTTTATGATTATGGTTCAAGTAATTGTTTGCAGAACAAGCCTTGGATTTTCCTGCAAAAATAAATTCTGATGTGGATGTGCGTTGAATTGATTATGGTCCAAATAATGCATCATTCTGCAGGATAGAAATTAATTTGTCTTCTGTTATTTTCCTGCAAAAATAAATTCTGATGTGAATGTGTTTTGAATCGATTACCTTTACCTAAGAAATGATTCCCTGAAGCCTCATTTGCATGCAAGGTATGTCTCCCATACTATATGCCTAAATTACAATGAAATCATGATTATCAACTTACAAAGCCAAATACTTATATTTCCACTAGATTCTGCCTATGCTGTTCTAATTTTCTTTTGAGGAATAACATCATAATTTCTTTTTGCGGTTTAAATCTTCATCATACCCTTAGAACCTTTGCTTTCTAGTTCTTTATGTGCTATTTATTTAGCTTAACTGATATGCAGTTCATTTTAGAATATTGAGCTGAACTATTCCAAATGGAAAGGTATTATGCCTATCAATTTTTCTCATATTTCTATTTTAGGGTTATATTATCTAACTCCTTAGACTTTTCTTTTAAATGCGTATACTAAATCAAGCAAAAAAAATCTATATGATTACACTTGCAAAGTCTCCATGCTATTGCATGTCTGTTATTTTGACATATTTTCTTTCTGAATAACAGCTGAAAAGTATAACATCTTGTGTAGAAGATGATCAACCACTATTGGACTCAATATTAATGCACATGGGAAGCATGTCTTTGACAAATGGGAAGTTTGATGATGCTGCACTTATGTATGAAAGATGCCTGAAAATTTTAGAGAAAGAGTTTGGTAAGTAGCTTGTAGAATATTTTGTGATGATAATCGTGCATATTGATAATGTGAAATGAAGCTCTTTTCCATATTTTGATTAGTTTTTTAGGGGAAAGATTGTTTGATATTTCAAATTTCAACATGCTTCAAGCACAATTGAAACTTTTAAGTTTATTAACATAAATAAGTGTTTAGGTTGCTTTCTTTGTGACCTAGAGAATAGGTTTGTGCTAAAAGTGATAAGATTACATATCATCTCCTCCTTAGACCCTTCAGCGAGTTTAATGGTTGGGTGCATGATTTTTAATAGTTATAATGCTGTGCAGACTTCAATTTGTTGGAATAATGATGATGCTGATGATGATTGTTAGAAGATTGAGTGAACTTTAAAGGACTACATGTTTTTGAAATTATCCTGCTAATACAAAATGTATGTGTGCTTATATATAAAAAAGAAGAGAACAATTAAGGAAAGTATAATGAGAGAGAATATATCCTTAATACTGGGGCAATATCACAATAATAAATGTTACAAATTCCTATTATAAATAATAAAAAAATGTAGTAATTTTGATATAGTGATACTCCTTCACAAACTCAATTAGTATAAAAATAATTATGACCAAATATAACATTATAAAAAATTTTATTGCACAAACTTTTGTGAGATCACAAAAAGATTGGGATTAATCTTTGAAAGAGAGAGTAGTGCAAATCATATATAAGGAGCCGACAACAACATTTGTTTATTAAAAGAAACAAATAAAATCCTTAAATAAATGATTTGATATAAAGCATCAAAATGAGTATTAAGAAGAGTGTTGACAAAGAGTACTGATGGAATCATTTACAAAGATGTATATGTAACGAGGGTAGATAATTGTATTGCAGATGGGGAATAAAGATAGATCACATAAGTAAATAGATTTGTCATACTTTGAGGAGGCCAAATTCCTTAGCACTCAATGATGGAGACAAAGATCTCGAGGGAGAAGCAGTGATAACAATAGCTGTGCTGCAGCCAAAGAAAAGTGTGAGAGCAAATTAATAGAAGTCAGAAATTTGTGGAGTGCAACTTAGTTGGGAAGTTGTTTAAAGAAGTTCAAGGGGATTAAGGTTATGACATACCTTATTAGAGTGTAGAGAGCATTATGAAGGACATCATTAATAAATTATTTTGCTATTAAAAGCATATATATGTACACACACACACACATATATGCAAGAGAATATAATAAATATGAATGTATAATAAAGAAGATTATTGTCATTAATGGGACAATATTGCATTAAAACATGTTGCAGCTACCCATCATAATAATTGAGACATGATAATTTTGATATAGTAATAATAACAAATTTGATGATGATGATGATTGTTGTGGTATATGAAAGTATACTTCCATTTCTATTTCTATATATATTTTTCCATATAACCGTGAATAAAATGTTAGATGAAAATCTTAGTTTTAGTTCCAAATAATTTTTATAACATTTTCATAAAGTACAAAACAAATCTAACAATTTTATTAGAATATATCGTAGAAGGAAAATCATGTATCTAACTATTTCTTTGAAAAAAAAGGGCTTTATTGGTTTTAGATAGCTTTTCAAAATGAGTCATTTTGAAAATGTTTTTACAATTATCATGTCCTTTAAATGTTTTAGGCAATCATAAAAATAAAAATTCATGGAAAAGTTTTCTTGGAGCCTAGGGGAATAAGCCTTTGTACTTTTCGTATCTTGAATGTGTTGGCTTGCCGGCCAATATAATATTTTCAAATCAATATCTTAGCATTCCTTTTTATTGATAGCCAATTAAATCTAATCTGTATCACAAATCAATAATCTTTTTCTTGCTAAAGTGTGCTCGAACTCTCACATAATATGACTTGATAAAAAATGATCTCAATTACAATCTTGGATTATACATTTATTTTTTTCTAAATAAATATTCATAAATCACTATAAAAGTACTCATCAATGATTAAGTTTTATCGTTTTTTTGCATGGTACCAGATGTGGAGATTTGAGCATGGGCAATAATCTTTTTTATTCTCAATATTATGAATTTATAATTCTAAAGTAGTTATCACTAAGATTACACTAGCAAAAAAATTTACAACTTTGTTGTCAACTCTTTATTTGTATTTTGGTACAAATAATCTCCATAAATGATCAATTTGAACTTGGCAGTCTTTGTATCCCCTCGTTAATGTGGAAGGGTCGTATATAATAGTTTCCTCTTTTTAGAAATAACTTTGTTAATGTGGTACTGTTATATATAGTGTTGTAAGTCTTTTTCTTGCTTTATTTATTTTACTCATTTTCTCTTATTCTTCTGTTACTTCTTTCTTTCCTCCCTGATCGTATGTGAATGTTGACAAGCAATAAGGACTTCATAGCTTCTTGCTCATTCACTACCACCTTGAATTTAATATTTTTAGTATTTTGCTAAATGTCTTTATTTATAGGGGATGACAATCCTTTCCTCATAACTCCACTTATGGGAAGGGCAAAAGTCTTCAGATTAACTGGACGGATCTCTAAGGCGATAGCTATTTATGACCGGGCAATTAAATTATTGGAAAAAAATAGAGGAGTGGAAAGTGAAGAGCTAGTTGTTCCTCTATTTGGCCTTGGTGATCTTTATATTAGTGAAGGGAAGGCTGGAGAAGCAGAGTCTTGCTTTAGCAGGTTGGACTAATCCATATTACTTTTTGCTAAATCTGAAAAAAAACTTATATATGCTGATTATTATTGTTATTATTAATTTTTGAGATTATTTGTTCGCTTAATCTATATTGTATTATAAAGCCAATACCATTTGCCGCTTGACACCTAATCCAATGCTTAAATGGAAAATTCTTGTTTTAGGCATGAAGGGTAATAGGGTAATAGCATTGGAGGACAAAAGTAAGTTATTAAATTGAAAATTTTTTATTTTTACCATTAAAATATGTTTAGTGTTTTTTATATCTAGTAAGGAATTCTATTAGCATCTTCAATAGAATATTCAATATCCGTTTATGTTAATTTTGAATTGTAAAATTTTGTTGAAAAATTGTTGCATTAACTGACATGTAATAATCGCTATGGGTCATATTACTGAATAATTTTCATCTTTTAGTTGTTATTTTGTTTGTCTTCTTATTGTTTGATTAAACAACACAAGAGATTATTAACAATTAATAAGAAACAACCACTTATTTTTAGTATAATGCAATCTCCCATAACAACTTCAAATATCTTGTATGAAAAATATTGCGATTAACTTATAGTAAATAAATTGTTTGTGGGTAGAAAAAACTATGAAGTTTATGATAAAATTAATTTATTAGTATGTGGAACTATTGTAATTCTACTCCCTTCTCATGTTTATATACTATTTATCGGCACCATCCACTCCATAATATGGATGCTATAGTAGATTAGTACAGTTAGAAAAAGTAAGTATTGAAGGATTAGGTGAGAAAATTGGTAGATCTATAGTTAATATGATAGGTATTATTCAAAAAGAATTATATCAAATAAGTTTAAAATCTTATGTGACTTTAAAGAAGAACAAATATAAAATATGAATTCATAAATTAGTTGGGGGAAAGAGATTTATGTGTCATTAGGTTGGTGTCCTCAAGCTTTGGTGAAGATATCCCCACTTTTTCGAAGTTTGATACATGAGATTATATTAAAAGAGCTTTATAGTTTACATTACAATATAAGTACTTAGTTTGTATAAAAGATAGGATTAATGGTAATGTAGATGGCATCACGATTGTATAATTTGTATTCATTTGTTGAATAATAGAAAAAATCAAACTTTCTTAAAATCATTCTATTCCACATCATTTTGCATGAAAATGAACCATAACTCTATATTCAATTTCAACACTTAGTATAGCTTCTATATTCTCTCTTTTGTTTTTCTAGGTGACTAGATTTCGTCGAAGAAAAATCCAATATTCTTAGGTTTACCTTAATAGAGCTTAGAAAATTTGAATCTAAAAAGGCTTACATATTCAAATTCTTAGATTTATTGTATAACATTTCTTCCCATGGAAACCTTTATAAATGCTTGAGGATTCATTAAAAAACATCCCAATGCTTTTTTTTGGATTTTTCATGTGTTGAATTATCACTTAAGCAACAAATGAATTGCCTCTTTCAATGTTGAAATGGACCATCTAGAGGTTCATCATCATTAGATATGGACTTACATTCCATAGTGATATTAGCAAGCTTATGACTAAGGAGGCCCAATTCATCAAGAAATTTAGTTGCATATTTTCTATAAGCAAAATTAAATTCCAAGAAAGTATTTGAGTTATCTCAAAAATTTGGTGACAATGCGGCTTTCTAAATAGTATTTTATCTTGGAATTTATATGATTGTTGTCAATATTAAGTGGTCATATGGCAAATCCTATAAAGTATGTTTGATTAAGATAAAGTAATTTGTTGTGCGATTTCAAAGATCAATCCTAGCTAGGAACTTGCACAATTTATTATAACTGGCTCTTGAACTCTTTTCAAGGCTATAAATAATATCATCGAATAAAAGTATCTAGTTTGATTAAGATATGATTGTTGTCAACATTATGTGGTAATATGAAAAATCCTATAAAATATGTTTGATTAAGATAAAATTATATGTTGTGTGATTTCAAAAATCAATCTTAGCTTGGAATTTACATAGTTTGTTATACTAGGCTTGTGAATTCATTTTAAGGCTATAAATAATCTTATTAAGTAGAAATATCTAGTTTCTCCCCCAAAGAAGCATAACATTGGAATTGCACTATATTAATGGTGGAAGTCAGTACTTAGGAAAGCATTTGCTTAAATCCATTATAGAATTATCCAACCATAATCTATGGCCATAGACAAAAGAGTTCAAATAGAGTTTGGGGTCGTAGCTAGGGGTAATATGTTAAAATAATCAAACCTATGAACTTGAGCAAACCCTTTGGCGACCAACTAGGCTTTACAGTGATCAATTGATCTATAAAGAGAATTTTTTACCACCCCCAAGAATGGTGGGGGGTTTTAATCCTGAGTATGTTGATTAAGAAGTTCTTTAATTTCAACATCTCTTGCATGTTTTCATAAAGGTTATTTTATTATTTTTTTATATAGGCCTTGAGAATAAATAAAGAGAATAAAGATGGTATAGAAGTATATAACAAAGTAGGTGACTTTTTCAAATGAAATTTATGAGTAAATAGTATGAACAACATGTAAAACAAGCTGAAAGAGTTTGTTTAGTAAGCAAAAAGCATGAAAGAAGAAGATACAATTAAAAAATAGTGTAAGCGGCAATGCAATTCGATATATAAAGAGTTGAGATGAGTAAGGTATGATCCAAGAGCAGAAAAAATTTAGTTAATGGGGTAGCAGGTTATTAAGGCAACATACCGATATAATAGATGTTGAACATTAATATGAAATATTTGTACTTTGGAAACTTTAAGAATGTGTTGATCTTTTATTCAATGACGTCATCTTGTAAGATAAACGGGGGAAGTCTAAATTATTAATAGCATTTGTAGTGCAAAATATGTGAAATTAAGATTGCATGAATTTTAAATATTATTAGTCATAATAATTTTATTGTGGTGTACAAAAAAAATTTTTATTTCTCGATAAAATATTTGTTATACTGGCAGAACTTTCTAAGAAATAAGTAGGGAAGGGAATCTATAGAGCAACAACGAGTAAGAGTCGGTGATGAAGTATCTCGTTGAATGCCATACTAATCCTTGATGGATAGATTTTTTTGTTGTAGAGAAATTAGATTAGATTACGAGGACTATATATTGAACCTATTACTTTCTCGGAAGTAAGTAGTGGGAAAATCTCACATCGCATTTGCAATGTTTTGTAACATGACTGTAAAGTTAATATTTTGTTTTAGACTATTCAACATTCAAGTTGAATTGATAAAACCGATACTTGTCGTTTAGACAACTTAGTAGTATTATTATGGTGAGAGGAGATGCATTAATATGTGAAAATTTATCATGAGAACTAATAAATGGTATCATTAAACTTATTAGAGATTCCAATAATGGAGAAGGAATTTGCCTCATACAAGGGAAATAGATAGCCCATAGATTGAAAAGAATGTAAGGAGTTAAATTAGGGGATTGCAAATCATTGGGGAGAATAGTGAAAAATTGAGGTGCAACAAACAATGCCAACATTGAGGGCGTTGTGTGGTAAAGTAGTGGTTCGTGATTTGCATGCTGTGAATGATAGCAGGAGGCACAACTTAGGAGCAATGTGGACAAATGGAAGCAAGTAGAGCTATCAAAAGAGCTCGTTGCTTGCGAAACTCGTATTAGGCTAACTAAGAAGTCTGCTTAGATAATTATTTTGAGCTTGTTTTAATATTGACGTTAAGGGTAATTAAAGCCATGTTTGGTTGGCTTGCTATTGTATATGTATGTGTGTGTGTGTATGTGTGTGTCATTAAGTGGTTAGTAGATAGACATGATGATTTTATTAAGTTTAGCTTATTATTTGTTTATTTTCATTTATTCAAAATCGACTCATCTTGGATTCAAATTTGAATTAGTTGAATACAAACACAATGACTACGAACAAATACAAATACAAGTTGAACACAAACATGATTAACAAGTCAAGCATGAACATATAGGAAGTTAGCTCAAGTTTGGCTCATTTAAAACCTTTGATGCAAATAGGAGATATGGGAGGGATGGAGATGCACATGTGGTTTGGGTTGCAAAAGGGAGAATCAACATAGGTGCGACGTGGACATAGAACAAGTAATTGTATATGGAATGGAAGGTGCATTCGATTTGCCTTGCTTTGCTACCATCAAGGTTTTGAAAATGAACTTGGTATTGAATGAAAAGATGCAAAATTTTGATGTTCAACTAGAATGCAAATGGGTTGTGAATCAAAACGTTATAATGAATCTTAAAATTATTTAATTTCTTAAATTATTCATTTGTAATGTAAATATTAACAAAGATTAAGAGAAAACATTTATTAAAAATAAAGCATAGTTTTGATTCAAATGCATAGCTAGGTTTAAGTGTTAATTTTGGGTAAGAGAAAATAATTAGTATCAAGTTAAAGTGATATAAAAGTAAAATAAATTGAAATAGTATTTTTTAACAATTGTATAAATAAATTGAAAGTTATTTTAAACATTATATAATACTTATATAAGTATTTAACGATAAGAATAATGCTTACAACTTGTAACAATGTGATCTTTTGCTTGCTATAGCAAGCGACTGATAATTTGAGATTTTCCATTGGAGAGAAGTGGTTTTGGTTGAGTGCATAGTGGTAGGAAGGGTGTCTGCAATCTACATTGCATTGGTGACAGTGTAAGCTTTTCATGATGAATAACTAGCGCTAGCATAATCCTCACTGGCAAGAAGGGCATTTGTGTGCCCTATCACAGTTCAATGAGATTACTCAAGTCGGAAGAGAATGGGCTTACATAGGAGTGCAATTGCCTATACATTATTGAAGTGTGAGATTAGATATGAGTGAAAATCGAATGCAAACTGTCTGGAATTAATGATCCCCAATCGAATTTGAGATTTTTCAATTGTCTAATCATTCGGATTATAGAATGATTTTTTGCATCAGATCATAAATAAATACTAGCATTAAGCCTAAATTTTCTTAGGAAACGAACTTGGTAGTTCAACTAAACCACAAATGGTTCGATAACTGATTCTATATTATTCTTTCTAGTTCAATGCTCAGAATGGTTTAAGAAATAAACAAAATTGACTCGGGAATTGGTTGAAAATTTAAACCAGTCAAATTGGCCAATTTGATTTGATTTCTTAACCCTTGTTGAGAAAAATAGATTTGTGTTATTCACTACTAAAAGGGCTTACAAATAAGTATACAAGATGATATAATAAGGAAATAACTAACCAGAAATAATACCAACAATTATGTTTATATTTTCTAATATAATTGTTTCAATTATGTGTAATAAATCAATATTACTAAATACACCATAACTTTTTATTTGGAGCACTAAAATTTTCTCATATCAGCTTCTAATACCAAGATTACCATTTGGAAGTTTTGTACATTTCAAAGCTTTTTTCCACATTTTTTTAAAGCTATTTTGACATTGAAGATACTAAAATATTAAATTTAATGTCTTTGTTTCGCTTAATTTATCATTTAAGCCATCAACCTTCAACCCTTGCAAGCAATTTCACCTGATTTATTATATAAGTCTTTACCTACTTGAAGTGCTTATACTTGCATGGAGTTGGTGATTCCCTTAGCTGTTAGTTGGGTTCTTTAAATCTCTTGATCCCTTGGGTTAAGAGAATGCAAACTTGCAAGGCTCTATGCATCTTGTTGAGTATACTACAAATGTGACGTTGCAAATTGATTTATCAATTAAATTATTGTTCACACATGCTTTTTTTTTTCTGTTTATTGTCATTTCTCATTCGAAGAGACTTATTTGCATTATACATTATACATGTAATGCCAAATATACCTCTACTCAATAAGAAGGTAATGCTTGTAAACGTCTTTTCATGTTTCTATTTTAGTGACTGCCTACCAAATTCTTTCTTGCTTGCATTCTAGAATTTTATGCATATATCAAAAGTTATATGGAGAAACTGATGCAAAGGTTGGAATAGCTTTGTCTTCATTGGCCCGCGCAAAGTGTGCTAAAGGTAACATGCATTTTCACATATGATGGTGGATGTTTTCATATGCAATTTTCATCATTCAGGGCTTCCTCTAACTGCAGCTTATTTTACAGGAGAAATAAAAGAGGCTATAAATCTTTATAAATCAGGTCTTCAAATCATCAATGAATCAAAATATTTGAATTTAGATGATGATCTTCTAGAAAAAATGAGAGTTGATTTAGCAGAGTTGCTTCATACTGCGGGAAGGTACATTTTTTGCTTAATTATTCTTGTTTATTTTTATAATTAAGATTAAAGCATTATTCTATTAGAACTTGTACTTTTGAGGTAACTGATATAAAAGAAAGTATAAGCAGTAAAACAAATAGGTTACTATATATCAAGTGAATGGTGCTCCTACCTATGCAGAGTTTGAGGAGGGTTGATTTCAATGATAAGTTATTTATGCATGATTTTTTTTATTTTTTTTATTTGTTTGATCGTTTGTTTCTCTTTTTAATTTCTTGATCACGGACTATGCAATTAATCATTAAGATCCTATATTTGCAGAATGCACACTCACTGTGGTACTATATGAATAAAATTCTCCTTATTTATTTTGTCCATCAATCCTCTTATTTTACCATCAATTTGTTAAATTCTTTTACACTCTTAATTGTTAATTGCAAATTCTAAATGCTTGAGAGTGATGTGAATGACCTTGAAACAAACTAAAATTAAAATAAATATGATGAAAAAGGCAATAAACTAAACTATTCTTATACTCTATAAGGAGTTTATCTTTCCCAAATAGCTCTCACACTTGATGATGATTAAAAAAATCTTGGAATGCATGAAGCAGCCTCTACATCCATAATAATAATTTTATTCATGCTATAATTTGTTTTGCAGGACTTTGAATTTTCCTATATATCTGTGGGCTTTGAGAAGGTCAACTTGCATCATTGCAAGATGGGAAAACATCATTTTCATGATACAAATGTAATAGTGGAAATAGCACTATCTAAAGATCTTACTATCACAAAAAAACTTTGTTTTCCCCATTCAATTCTCTCAAGAAAGCAAATAATCAAGATTAATTAGCTTTTCATGAGGGATATTTTTTTAATTAAGGTTGATGGTACCGACTATTATAAATATTTCAATATAATGTGTTTTTGGCATTGACGAATAGGTCATTTACTCTTTTATTAAACGTGTTAATTTTGGGGGATGAAGACTCACTTGATGTAGTTCATATGATTTTCTCTTCTTGTGTTGGTCATGGACCATTTTCTATGTAGTCAATGAAGGTAGTTAACCAAACCAATGTTTGGGAGATCATTGGACTTAATGATGTGAAGGCCAGTTGAGATAGACTGGAAGCTTTAAAGGGGTTTTCATAGAATCCTATATTTAGAGAAGAGGAGCTCGAGCCAAGTGCTTTCCTGTCAAGAGAAATCAAGGTTGAGAGAAAACTCGGTAAAGTTCTTGAGAAGAAGCTTGCACAAGAATCGAGTGACTTTATGATGTATTGTTGGTCGAGCTACAATGATAACAATTTTGCACTAGAAGTCCATGATTTTGATGGTACTATTTTGCAACTTCTACAAAATATTGCCATTATTTCTTTTAGTAATTATGTACCTAAGTCAACACCATTTCATTTTAATGTTTACCCTTTTAATTTCCCTGTCTATATAAAGGAATGTCATGTGGAGGAAAAGGGTTCGAGTTCTTACCTTATCTGTAGTTGCATCTTAAATAGAAAGTTCACCCTATAGCCTCTCAAAAACTTAAGCTTAGGAGGCCGTATGGAGTTAGATTTGGAGAGAGAGAGAGAGAGAGCATCATTTTTCTCATTCTTGTATTTTGCATGTGGTTTTTGCTCCAAAACTAAATATCCAAATCAACAACGATACTTTATTGACCCTTAGCTTTTCTTACGAATCTCACTTTATATTTGTATCAATCCTAATATATTTACCTTACTAAAGGACCTTTATTACGAAATAGGGTTTATGTTATCTACGGAGAACTCATATAACTAGGGTGCATGATGAGTAAGTGATCAATTTTTTATCAACTCTAGTTGAAATAGGGTTTTATGCTCTATAAAATACACCAAGCAAAGCTAGAAGCTCAAATACATACCATTAAGGGTACATACGATGATGTGTTTCTTTTAGGCTACCCATTTAGTCATAGATTTTTTATCATAATCGTACTGTAATGGTACTGTCATATTAGGATGTTCATTAGTTGAGGTTATGTGTTAGTGTCACATCCTTGTATGTATTGAATTTTAAGTTGGTCTTATTTGATAAAAATCGATATAATATTGGGTTTTCTCCGAGCTTGGATCTATTTGAATTTGACTTTTGGGTTAACTCTAACAAAATCCCACCATATTTTCTTATTTATGTTTTTTTGGCCATCTTTTTGTATTTTTGCTATTTTAAGCTTTTTAATGTTGTTTTATATGTTGAGGATTGGTAAGAGGCATCTTGTTAGTATTTTTATTTTGGGAAATCAAGGATTGAAGATAATTTTTAGGAGTAAGCATCTGAACAAGCATTGAGGATCAACTGAATGGTTAAGTTGGAATATTTTCTAGTTCAAAGTTAATGCCAATGCAACCATCATCTAGGTGTTGACACTTATTTTGTTTTGGCGTAGCTAGTGTAGTTCTATCTTGTTATAATTGACATTTTTCAACCTCATTATGAAGGGCTACTTTATATTCTTTCTTTGGCTTTGGATTTTTGGGTCATATTTGGGCAAACTGATAGGTTTTAAGATTCTTTTTTGCATTCCCTGTCAATTAGTAGGGTAACTTGTTAAGCTAGATTGAATTAAAGGGCGACTTTTGCGGATCTTTGTAATCTTTGATTTTTGGGAGGAGCTAAATTGCCTAATCCATGGGAAAGAGCCTGACAATTTATAATTTGACTCCTAGGATGGGAAAGAGCCTGACAATTTATAATTTGACTCCTAGGAAATTAAACAGTATGTTGGCTTCAAATTATTAGTGACTTCAATTCGGACCTCACTTTGGAAGCTTTGATTGGCATGGTGACATATAGGTACTTTTGACTTAACTCCGCTGGGATATGTAGACTCGTTTGTTGTGGAGGTCTCATTCTTTCTGCTTGGGAGGGCGACTGTTAAGACAAATATTGACTCTGACAGTGTGTATTAATCAAGAGACTGTATATATATATAATATATATATATATATATATTGAAAGCCCAAAAAAGCTAATATATTAACTAGAAAGAAAGATACAGATATAATATGATGGAGGGCCCAAACATGATACCCTGCTCACACCAAAATCACAAGGGGTTCTACAACTAGAAAATACTGAAAAGTACATTAGAGACATAAAGAAAAAAAACCTACAAATGCATAAATACATACTATCAGCTGGCTAGAGAGCAACCCAATTTGGTTTTGTCTCTGCCTCTGGTTCTAGGAAAGGAGCAAGCTAATAAGTTGATAAGATGATTGTCATTGTCAGTAGTAATTACTGTATAGCTGGAGTCGACCTCCATTCTTCTTCTTCCTCCTGGAATAGACCTGTCATTCCTCTTCCGAAGATTTGTTCGCCTGACCTTGGTCTAAAGTGTGCTGGAGATGTGCAGATTGTTTGGACATTAGAAGCAACTACATGTATCAGCTGATCTGTTATTGGATCAAAGGAGCACTCTCGCGTGTCTTGGCGTGTAAGTGAATCATCTTCAATAACAGTAGGTGGTATGAGCACAATTGGATTTGTAGCTGTAGTATGTTCTTCTTCAGGAACTACGGTGTTGGGAAGAGGATCGGGTTGCATCTTCTCAACATGGATAGTAGGTGGCTGTTTTTTAGCGATATTCGGCTTTAGATGATGATGCAAATGATAGCAAATAGTAGAGCTGTGGTCAAACATACTACAATGAGAGCAATAAGGAGGATGTGGTTCAATTTCAACCTTTTGTCAATACCCGTTGTGCATAGTGTCAATCCATATCTGATCCGGAGTTGGTTGAGTGATATCTCTCTCAACTAACACACAATTCACAGAAGGTCTGGTGACATTAAGCGTAGGACTATCCACATTGAGAGGCTTACCGTAAGCATTTGCTAAAGAGTAGAGGATTTTCATGTTGAACAGATTTAATTTTAATCCCGAAAACTTTATCCAAACAAGAATGATAGGGGACTTCGCTTTTGGATCAAAACTGACAGTCTACTTCAGAATTTTCATAAAATGATTGTCAATCTTGATAGCTTTCCGAGAGAAAATGCTAGTGTAATCGACATCATGAGATAATTGAATAAGTATATGTCTACCGTCAAGTAGAACAATGTTCCAACTGTCCAATAGTTTCATAACATCAAACTCTTTCATAATAATCTCCAGTTTTGGGTGGTCATAAAGAAATTTTCCCACTAGAGAAAAACGCTAAGAGGACGCGAGAGTGCCGGTTTCAACCTCTGTGAGAATAAGTGCAGGCTTCTTATCTCTTTTTCAAGTTTTTTAATAAAAGTGTGATCACTTCCACCTTCAAGCGTCTCATGGAAAGATTCTGGAAAATTGCAGGACTTACTGATAGCAAAACTAGGCACTGAACCTGAAGGAGGGGCACGGGCAGGAAAGTCGCCGGCAAGAGCATTAGCATAGGAATGGAGCGTCGAGGCAGCTCCCTCACAAGACAGGAGTCTGGCGGGCAGGAAGCGAGCAGCGAGCCCTTCTGAGTTTATCGGGCTAGCAGAGGCGCAGAAATGAAACCGCAGCACGAAACCGCGGCTCAAAACAATGTCGTTTGGCGGACATGGAGTGAGTAGCAAGCCTTTCTGCGAGCAGGAGTTTGTTGGGCGAGCAGAGAGGCGCAGAAATGAAACCGCAGCACGAAACCACAGCTCAAAACAACGCTGAAGCCCTTCGTCGTTTGGCGCAGACGATGAACGCAGAGCTTCGTCTTCGTCGTCGTCGTCGTCGAGCACAGCCGAAGGAATCAAACGAGGGTTTCGCCATCGGGCAAAACCCTAATTTTTTTTTTATTGACTGATATATGAATGACAATAAATAGTCCTTTCAAGACAAGATTAAACTAAAATTTCTCTGAAAGAAAGGATTATTTATTGTCATAACTAATCATAACCAAAAGGAGCTATAGCTTAACTTTCTTTCAGAGGAATTTTAGTTTAATCTTTTCTTGAATGGATTATTTATTGCCATTCTTAAGATGCATTTAATATTGCTTTTGTCATCATAGGT